GAGAAAAGTGCCCTGCATTCTGAACAGTTCCCTCCAAAACTTTGTCTCTATAAAACACAATTGATTCAGGAATCCCGTGTAATCTAACCAATTCCCTGATAAATGCTGCTGCCACTGATATCGCGGTGTACGGATGTCGTAGGAGGATGAAATGTGCATATTTACTGAGTCGGTCCACCACTACCAAAATGACTGTGAATCCCTCTGAGCGGGATAGGCCGTCGATGAAATCCATGTACTCTTCCTCCCATACTATGTTTGGAAGTGTCAATGGTTAGAGTAACCCTCCTGGTGCCATTGCCATGTATTTATTTCTCTTGCACACCTCACACCTTGCCACCTTCTCATCCACATCTTTATGCATTCCCTTTCAATAGAGCTCATCTGCTAGCCTCCTGAATGGCCTCCAACTGTGCTGCCATGGAACTCCTGCAATAAGTGAGGAATATGTATGGAAGTTCGTGGCATCACAAACCTCCCTTGATACAATAGTCTTTCCCCCTCAATGCAATAACCAGGATGGCTACTCTTGTCTTTTCTCAAATCTTCCTTGATCCTTCCCAATTCTTCATCCAGCATGCTTTCTTCTTTGATGGCCCCCCCAGTCGACCATCAAGGGTACAGATAGCTATTTTCTGGAGCTCCCCCACACATTTGGATAGACCGTCAACTGCTTTATTTTCCAAACCCGGCCTGTACTGTATCTCGAAATCATAGCCTAATAGTTTGGATAGCCATCCTTGATACTCCTTATTCACCATCCTTTGCTCCAAGAGGTATTTTAAGCTCCTCTGATCAATTTAGACGATGAAGTGTCGACCCAAAAGATAGGGGCGCCACTTCTAAATGGCCAAGACAATGTCTATCTCCCTCTCGTACTCTGACTTCAGTCTTTCCCTGGTTGATAACACTTGATTAAAGATGCTATCAGCTGTGGCTCTGCATGAACACTACCCCCAACCCATATCCTAAGGCATTGATCTCTACTACAAAGACCTGATTGAAGTCTTGAAGAGCTAGAACAGGAACAATGGTCATGGATTTCCTTAACCTCTCGAAGGCCTGGGTCGCTCCCTCTCCCCAGGAAAAAGTTGTCTTTCTTCAACTGGTCAGTTAAAGGCTAGGCAATGGTACCGTACCCCTTTACAAACTTCCTGTAATAACTAGTCAATCTTAGGAAACTCCTCAACTCCCTTATGTTCCTAGGTAGTTGCCATTTCTGTATTGCCTCAATTTTGGTTTGGTCCACCGCCATTCCTTGGGACACCACATGTCCCAAGTATTCCACTCTGGACTGAGCAAAGTTGCATTTCTTCATGTTAGCTTTTAGTTGATGCTCCTGAAGCACTTCTAAGACCACTCTCAAATGTTCCAAGTGCTCCTCCACAGTCTTGTTGTACACCAGAATGTCATAAAAAAAAGATCAGGACAAACTTCCTCAGGTGCTACTTGAATATCCTGTTCATCAAAGAGTGAAAAGTAGCGGGAGCGTTAGTCAATCCAAAAGGCATTACCAGAAATTCATAATGTCATTCATGTGTCCTGAAGGCTGTCTTTGGAACATCTGCCTCCCTCATTCTGATCTGGTGGTATCTGAATTTTAAGTCCAACTTAGAAAACATCACTGCCCATATAGCTAGTCCAATAGCTCATCGATCACCGGAATTTGGAACTTGTCTAGTATAGTGCCCATATTCAGAGCCCTGTAATCCACACAGAATCTCCAACTTCCATCTTTCTTCTTGACCAGGAGAACTAGACTAGAAAAAGGGCTAACGCTTGGTCTGATGATCTTTGCCTCCAGCATTTCCTGCATTAGCTTCTCAATCTCATCTTTTTGAATCTATGTGTAATGGTAAGGAAGGACGCTAATCGGTGTCTCCCCTTCAAAGTAATGGTGTGCTCCAACTCTCTCTAAGGAGGTAAACCCTGGGAAGGTTGAAAAACCTCGCTGAACTAGTGTATGAGTGGCTGCACTGAAGAGGGAACATTGCCTTCTTCCTCTAGTCTGACCCCTTCCAGGTGGTGCAACTCCACCATGCAGCCTCCCCCCACCTACTGAATGGTCCTGATTAAGGATTTGAGAAAAACCCCAGCCTTAGTTAACCCAACTTCATCTAGAATCATCCTTCTTCTTTCCCCCATCACCAGTTCCATCCTTAGTGTACCCCAATTGATCTTGGTCTCCCCCAATGTCTGCAGCAACTTTATCCCTAGGATGACGTCAGTACTCCCTAAATCCAAGGGAAGGAAGTACTCCCTCACCTGGATTCCCTAAATCTTCAGCACCACCCCCTCTACAAACTCATGTACCCATTTCCACCTTTCCCATGCCCATCATCACCCCATAGCCTTCGGCTTCCACTAACTCCATCCCAAGTAGCTCAACGATCTGGGTGGAAATGAAATTGTGGGTTGCCCCACTATCTATCAACACCACCACCTATTGGTCAGCTCTCTCTCCTTTCACTTTCATAGTGTGACTCGGAGTGAATCTCACTACAGAGTTCAGAGAGACTTCTGCCACATCCAGATGCAACTTCTCCTCCTCCACTTCAGACCTGCTCTCACCTCCCTTGTCGTCTTCCTTGTGTTCACCGACAAGAAGAACCTGAAGAGTTTGGTCCTTGCACTTATGCCCTGGCATGTATTTCTCATCACATCTAAAGTACAACCTCTTTGCCGTCTTATCCTGCATCTCCTTTTCCGTCAGCTTTTTGAATTGTCCCCTGTTTCTCCCTCCTCCAGTTTTCTCCTTTGGAGCTTCCTTCAGACTCCCTGGTGCTGCCCCTTTTGACGGTAAAAAGGTGGTAGTCATCCTGTATGAACCCCCTGGATAGTTCCCTCGAGCCCCTCTTTCTGATTTCTTATGATCTTCTACCAACTGCGCCAACTCCATAGCCTTCCCTAGGTTCGTCGGCTCCAGCACTCTGATTGGTGTACGTATCTGAGGTTTAAGCCCCTTCATGAAGTTCCCTTCCAGGTCTGACTTCGAAATATGATTCAATCTGCTAGCCAAGTACTCAATCCTGCCCCGATAATCTGCCATAGTCCTCTCCTGAGTCAGGACAAAGAATTGCTCATAGATGTCTCCTCCCCTATCGGCTCGGAAACGCTCTAATAAGCAATCCTTGAATTCTCTTTAGCTCCGGATGGGCTCCCTCCTATCGCGCCACTGATACCATGCCATGGCTTTTTCCTTCCAAACACAATCCCGCCGCTGTCAACTTGTCTTCCTCCGTCAACCCGTTGACCGCAAAGTAACGCTCTATCTTGTAGATCCAGCCATGGCCATCTTCACCCTAAAAAATGGGCATCTTCAGCTTCCTCACCCGTGGGTCTCCCCCGTTTCCCCTGAATCCTTCATAACCTCCCATTCCTCGAAAAGAAGGTGCTCCCCAACTGTCACGATCTTCCCTCCGACGATTATACCCAAACCCTTCGTCGTATTCTCCTCTTCTCCCTTCAAAATCAGCACCTCAGCGATGAAATTCTTCCCTTCTCTCGACGAAATCAGCACCCCTTCGGTCATTTTCCAAACTCATCTCCTCTCTAGAAAGTAGCTCTAGAGGTGGCATATTGTCCTCTCCCTCAATGATCTCCACTTCCAGATTTCTCCTCCCCATAAACTGGTTCGGATTCCCTCTTACACCATGGCCTCCGATGATCTCCCTTGCTTCCGATGTCGTATGATTGATCTTCATCTCCAGCAGTTTCTTCAACATCTCTTACATCACCGTGAATTTTCCTTCTATCCTTTCATTGTTGGATGTGATTTGGTTTTGAAAATCAAAGAATTTTCCCTCCAAATCTGATTTTAATTGACCAATCTCCCCTTCCAAGACTTCTACCTTCTTCTCGGCCATCTCTCTTCCCAACAATCACAAAGATCTTCTAGTTGAAAAAAAATCCGCTGAAATTTCAGAATTTCAGCCGCCGATGGTCCCAAATCGATGCTCTAATACCAATTTGATAGGAAATACTTGACTTCGCAAGTAACCCTAAGGTAATACTTGAGTTTGCAAGCAACCCTAAGCAAAATCGGTGTTCAAACAGCAAAAATACTGCTGTCCACAGCAGGAAAACAACACAGATCTGCTGTCCACAGCAGAAAAAACAGCAATTCCACGGGAAATCTGAGAGAAAACTCAACAATAGACTTGTATTCCGCTAGAAGATGAAATAAAATAGCAACGTTACAATTGTTCTTCAATTCAAGAGGAAGAACAACTCTCCAAATCTCCGGCAATGCCAAGAGTCCAAAGCACAAGAACCCTAGATCTCAAATAAAATTCAAATTCAAGATGAAAACCTAATTCTATCATTACTCCCTAATTTAAGCTAAAGGAATGATACAAATTCCCTTAACACCCTTGTAATTCAAAATTTCCCTCCTAATATTGGATTTAACTCAAATTGGGGCCCACAATGTGGTTCCGCACCCCCTCCCCCCACTTTCCCTCCTGGGCCGGCCTATCAGATTGATTTCTTGTTTAATATGCCATTTGACATTGATTTAGACTTTCAAGTAGAATTGTTGAATTCCACATAGGTTATACTTAAAAGTCATATCCGCTGATCCTTTTTAAAAACATGATTGTTTCATTGCGATGAATGATATATGGCAGTGAATGATTTATTTTGTTCATTCTGATAGCATAAATACTTGTGTATCTTGTTTTATTTATTTGTCTGTATCCATACAAATGCAAATTATATGCTAACATGCCGTAATATGTATTTAACATCGAGTGCAGCACTATTTTGGTGCTTGCATTTTGTTTGCTTACCTGGAGGAATGGGTGTATTGACATACGTGTATCTGTCAAGATGTAAACATTAATTAATTTCATGTCCATCTCTCTTAGCACATGAAAAAACATTCTCATTTCCATCATATTTTTTTGAAGAAATGCTTTAATATTTTCTAATCGTCAATTACTGGAAGTATATAATTAACAAAATCCTTCAGTTCTCAAACTAATATTATCATTATGCAGAGCAAACTTTCAGTATATATGGCCATGGGAAGAATGGGCATATGTGAAGTACCTCCCTAAGTGGGCCCCCCAACGAGTTTTTGTTCAAGAAATATTGCAAAGGGAAATTCGTTTATGTTATTGGGATAAGATTAAACAGGTGAAGGTTTAAATCTTTAATACCAAAGCATTATGTGAATATTCATACTTATGTTTGTTACAAAATAGTGTCGTTATCATGTGAAGTTTGACTATTAAAACTAGGATTTGGAAGGGATGCCACTCTGTCATTATTCCGTTCATTGTTCAGTTTGATTTATGGTTTGGCTTTTTTCCCCTTTCATCTCATGCTCCTTCAGAGCATTGAAAATGCCCCTGCGCTGGAGGAGCTTCTTCCCCCAAAAGGTGGACCTTGCTTCATATATAGTATTGATAATGATCAAGAAGGAGGGAAGGGCCATAAACTCTCCGCAGAGCTGAAGAGCATGGTTAGGTCACGGAAGACTACTCGTGAAATTATTTTATGGATGGAGGAAAATTTGATTCCAGTACATGGAAACAAATTTGCTGCTGAAGTTGTCATTCAGACTCTATTGGACATTGGTTCAAAAAGCTTCACTCATTTAATAACTGTGCTGGAGAGATATGGGCTAGTTTTTGCCAAACTCAGCACTAATGTGGACATGCAAGTTCTTGTGATTAATGAAGTTACCTCTTACTGGAAGAACAATACCCAGATGATTGCAATAGCCATTGATCGAATGATGGGCTACCGACTCATTTCAAATTTGGCTATCGTCAGTTGGGTCTTCTCTGAAGCTAATGTTAATCAGTTCCATCTTTCAGATCGCCCATGGGAGGTAAATACTTGTGTATTAATTCGTATATCGTGACCTTTAAATTTAAAGTATCGTATTCATCAAAGAAAATGATGATTGGTTGACAAGCTGATAGCTTTGTTGTGATTTCATTGGTGATTATTCCATATTAAGCTATGGGTTTTGTTCAACGTACCTGTTTGATTATGTTGTTCCCATTATATTGTTCAGTTATTATTTTTGTTACAATTGTCATATTAACTTGAATAACTTCAGTATCTGTAATTTATTCATGAAGGAATGTCTCTGTCATTCTGCTTCTGGTCATCATCATTCAAATCAGCGTTTATGTGCCCATTGCATTTATCATTTGTTGAAAAATTGTTTTATATTATTGTTATGTCTATAAAATGTTCCTGCTATGCAAATTTTTGTAGGATCTCCGCTGTCATAATTTTACATGCAGTTGCTCTAATGAGGACATCCGACCTTGTAGAATCTACCAGAGACGAAGCCGATGTTCGACGATCATGATTACTCCACTTTATTTTTAATTTATGCATTGTATTTAATTTGTTATTGTTTCTTTTCCGATTTTACCCTCACTTGAGGGAGTAGATGTTTATGACCCCAAGGGGTACTATTGTCTTTTGTTTTGTCTGTGTATTTGGGGACTAATTATAGCCTCCTCTTATGATTATGTTGGTGAATGAATATGATGATGAAAAATTCAGCAATTGAGTTCTTGTGAGAGTTGAGAGATCTTGGAGAGAAATCCCTAGGTGATGGAATCGAATCACCCATCAGCCGCAGGAAGCGCCCAAGCTCGTGATTATCTTCTCCTTCTTTCCTCCCCTACTCTTCCTCCTTCAAGCCACCGGCCTCCCCACTAGATCCCCTCCCTAACCACCGGCGAAACCCCTCCCCGGCCGAACCAACACCACCCTCCCCCAAGCCCGGCCGGCCGACCCTTCCCCTCCTCTTTCAAACTAATGGCCACCATTCCCCCGCCCCCCCAACCGCTGGCCCTACATTCCCTTCCCAAAGCCCATGCCATCGACCCCCTCGCCTTGCTCCCCCACATTCATTATTTTTCTAAATTATATTTCTATTAATTTGGAAAGTATTCAAATTTGAATTCAAAGAAATTTGAAATTAAAAAATCATTCCTAAATTAACAAGGCCTATTTTAGGAATATTTCCAATCAATTCAAAATCTGAAATAAATTGGAATCAATTCCAATTTCCACATTCAATGTACTTGGACACATTCATTGAATGTGGACAACTTCTCACCCTCCTCTCTCTTGACCGGCCCACTTACCCTCTCTCCTATCTAATTAATTCTTCCAATCAAATCCCCAATCAAGCCCTTGCATAGGCCGGCCCCTCCCTCTCTCCAATTAAAATGTTCCACAATATTTCCATCCCCTTAATCTCTCCCTACATTAGGAATTAATTTACATTAATCCCTCTACTTCCTCCCTCTCCTATAGACGTTGGCCCTCTAATTCCCCTTCCCATTCTCTTTTTGACTCCTACACCACCTTCCCCTATTAATTTCCCAAACCATTAGGAGATATTTTTCTCCTCCCCATAGCAGACCACATCAAACACTAACCTCCTAAACCTGCTCCCAACTGCTCTCTAGATTTCTGGATAAGGGATTGCTGTCCAGAACACCCTGACCAGCAATATTGCCGCCCAAACCCGCTCCTACTTGCTGTCCAGCAATCACTCAAGTGCTATCCAGAAATTCATGCACTCCTTGTTGTCCAGCTGATTGGAGAAGTCTTTGTTCACTGTCCAAAGGTTTCCTAGCCTCAAAGTTGCTGCCCCGGGATGTATGGCGGATCCTGAACAAGATCTTGGATTCGTGTACGAAGATCAAGGCCACATCGACATCCTCAATTCACTGTTCTTCAACTTCAACCTAGAGATTGATCAATTGGTAGAAGAATACGTAGAGAGGATCGTTTTCACTCTCGTCGAAGCCATCGACAACCAACTTTCCTCTGTGTAGTGGCAGATCATTTCCAAACCTTGACAATGATTAACTCTTCCTTCGAATTTTATGCCTTCTGAATTACTTGAAATGTGGTCTTAATGGATTCATGAAGGTTGTCTTAGGTTCATCTGTCAAGCCTAGTATTTTAGAGAGTTGAGTGAGGGATCTCTTTTCATAGTGCATAGTCTTATTACTAACTTTGGCATTTATTATTGAAAACCTTCCATGTATGCTTTTGCTTGAGTAATTGACTATTCTGTGGTTTTAACTTCTAGTTGTGTGACTTGGCCTAAGCTAGTCTCATCTCTTTCTTGTTTTATTTCATCATTTAATCACTACAAGTATTGTAAAACCCCTCCGAAGCTGATTTTTTTTAGTGCTGTTAGTCCGGACAAACTGACCTTAGTCCCGGACGAACTGAAGAAAATTGTGAAGAATATGTCAATTTCGTCTGGACGATCCTGTAAGGGTCGCGGGACGAACCGTCAGGACGAACCGAACATAGAGCATCGTCCAGGGACGAAACAAATTGGAATTAATTTTCGTCTGTACGATCCGTGTCCAGAGGAGTTCGTCCCGGGACGATCTGTGCATCGTCCTGGACGATCCTGCTTGATAAGTATCGGATTTGAGATATTTTGGAAATATTTTGAGGAGAGAGAAAAAAAAGCAGGAGAGAGAAAGAGAAGGAAAAGCTTCATTTCGGAGGCCGCGGAGCGCTTTTCGTCCGAC